CCCCCCCCCCCCTCTGCACCCAGTCCCTTTAAGAGTTTGATTGGCAGCTGAAGTGAGCGGTATAAAAGGAGCAGGTGAGGTGCAGCCAGGACTGTACAGGTGCCGGAGCTCATCTGAGGCGTGTGACAATGACAGGACAACATTGCTGGGGATACGGCGAGGAGGACGGTAACACTCTGATAATGATAATCTCCTTCTGCACATTCCTCAGTGTATTAGCAGCGCACACAGCTCCCCATTCACACTCTGTTTTCTGCTTTCTGTCATCCTCATCCGCAGTCTGCATACCTGTACATCCCAGCACCGGGGACACAGGTGTCACCCTTGTGCTAAGTACTGTCGCTTTTCATTTTTGGGAAAAGGGGGGGGGGGGGGGGGGTGGTGGGGGGGCCGGGGAGGAGATGCTGGGGAGGAGGAGGAGGAGATGCTGTACTGCCCGGAGTAAGAAAATGCTTACAAAGTGCTGCAAAGACATTGTAAAATAATAGACTTAGAGGAAAAGAATCCTCTGATAGAGTACAATATTGGGGGTACAGAACTACAGAGGAAGAACATTTGGGGTGCTTAGTTTAGGTGATTGCAAAATGAGCAAACTGTGTCCAGCCAGAGCGCAAAGTGAACTGAAATCTGGGGGACATCACTAGAGGATCCCCAACACCAGGAGGAAGGAGGTCCTGATTCCTCTATATAGATCTTTATTATCACTAGAGGGATCCCCAACACCAGGAGGAAGGAGGTCCTGATCCTTCTATATAGATCTTCATTATCACTAGGGGGATCCCCAGCAGGAGGAAGGAGGTCCTGATCCTTCTATATAGATCTTCATTATCACTAGGGGGATCCCCAGCAGGAGGAAGGAGGTCCTGATCCTTCTATATAGATCTTCATTATCACTAGGGGGATCCCCAGCAGGAGGAAGGAGGTCCTGATCCTTCTATATAGATCTTCATTATCACTAGGGGGATCCCCAGCAGGAGGAAGGAGGTCCTGATCCTTCTATATAGATCTTCATTATCACTAGGGGGATCCCCAGCAGGAGGAAGGAGGTCCTGATCCTTCTATATAGATCTTCATTATCACTAGGGGGATCCCCAGCAGGAGGAAGGAGGTCCTGATCCTTCTATATAGATCTTTATTATCACTAGAGGGATCCCCAACACCAGGAGGAAGGAGGTCCTGATCCCTCTATATATATCTTCATTATCACTAGAGGGATCCCCAACAGGAGGAAGGAGGTCCTGATTCCTCTATATAGATCTTTATTATCACTAGAGCGATCCCCAGCAGGAGGAAGGAGGTCCTGATCCCTCTATATAGATCTTTATTATCACT